CGGGTACGGCACAGGTGAATGTCGTCCAGGGCCCGCAGCAGCAGGGCGGCCAGACCATGCAGATAACGGTAAGGAGGACATGGAGGGCTGTGCTGGGGGCCCGCGCGTGTTGGGGTAGCAGCTGGCAACGCGAGGGGCGCTGCCGATTTACGACTGTGCTATTGGCTGTCCCAGAATGCGTGAATAGCAAAGGGCCTTCGGGTTTTATGGCGCGGTGACGGCGATATGTCCCCCGCTCGCTCCGTTAGCAGCAGCATCACCAGCCCAACTGGGAGCGTAAATTCCTGAACCGCATTGCAGTGTTGCTCTCCTTGGGGCAGTTGTAATGTCCGACACGATTTGGCGGCGCCTCCTCCTCCTCCTCCTCCTCCTCCTCCTTACCATATGCACACAGCGGCACATTAACTGGTGAATTCCCTTGTGGCATGGCTCAAATGGTCACGTGGCCGCCTTAAGTGAACACACAGGCTCATTGATACGGCTTACACGTGCGCACACGGCCTCACACCATATGCCGCACACTCGCGATTGCGCAGGTGCGCACCAGCGACGGGGCCGTTATTGTGGTGGATGATGGCGGTCGAGGCGAGAGGGGAGGACGTGGGGGTCGCGGAGGGGCCGTCATTGATGTCGAGTTCCGGGAAGTCGATAAGAAATAGCTATCAGGAGAGGGGCCAGCGTAAAGCAGAGGCCGTACGATATGAGGTAATTCATAGCGGTAGTGCGGCGGATATACCTTCAAACTGCATGCTGTCCTGGTGCCAGCAGCTGGGAGACAGCTGTGGGGGCATGTCCAGGCGCTTCTGGGGTCCCCGGGCAATGACGGTCTTTTTTCATCAAATAGACAGGTTTCGTCAGATATACAGTGCCTTACAAGCAGGACGAGTAGGATATACGGATAAAGGAATGTTGCTCTTGGGAAAGTTGGGCATTGACAAAAAATGCGTAGGGAATGCCGTACATACACAGCTGCTGCAGTACAAGGTGGTGTCTGCGGATTGCTGGGGGAGGTGTGTCACGTTGGCGTTGTTGTGCTTAGCTGCCAAAACGTGGCTTAGCAGGTTACTTAGTTTTCCTTCTACATACTTAAAATGCCGCGCAATGGCGTCCATCCATCCATCCATCTTGTTGGTTGCGCCGTATTGGAAATCCCTTACATTGTCGACGGGTTTCCCTGGCCGGTGTGAGCTGATGTAGCTGTCTCTTGTTCGCCTGACGTATCAGAGACTTCGTTGCTTTTGGCGGTGCATCCTGTCGACTGATGTTTGCCTGTTCATGCGTCTAAGTGCGTGCGCTGCCGTCGCGCCACCTACTGCCGACGAGAGTACGGTAGCCTGAGGGCAAAGCTTTGGACAGCTTTGGGGACGCAGCAAAGAGTTGAGTCGCGCTGCATGGAGTTCGGTTACTGCAGGCATTGCCTGGGTCATAGTTCAGAGTCCGGTGGGAGCGCCCGGCACTCCGTCTGGTGGCGAGCCTGGCTCGAAGCGGCCCCCTCGTGGCCAGGCATGCGGGGGCATGCGCAGAGGAACGCAGAGATGGAGTGGTGTCCACACCTATTCCTGGCCGGTGTACGGCTAAAGGTTGCGTTTTGCGTTGCAACATGAACCTGCTGAGCTGCCTGCGAAACGCTGTGTGAGTACCGTGCCCACGGGCTTCCATTCGACGTCGGAGGGAGGCTTAAGAAGCTTCTCGTGAAGGTTTGCGACAAGGCGGCGTCTTCGCGAGTGCGAGGAAGGCAAACTAGCAACCATACTTGGCAGCATTCTTGTCTTGTCTAGGTGAAAACTGTTACAGCAAGGAGCAAGTATCTGTCTAGAGTTACAAGTTGCAGATAACATGGGGGGCAATCCGTTATTAAAGTTTGGGGGGTAGCCGCAGAGCTGTGGCCCCGATCCCATGCCTACGGCGTTGTGCATGGCCGCACAACCCATGCCAACACAGACAGGCTGAGACCCCAGTCGTCAGTCCGATCATCATATGCAGCCACTCGTTACCGTGCCGCGACCGTGTGGCAGTCCCTGGAGTCACAAGAGGTGATTTGCGCTCCCGAAAGAAAAGGAAGGCCAGTATGTGATAAAACAAACCAATCAGCCACACCGTCCTCAGAGGGCCAGTTTCCCCAAGGAAAAGGAAGTACTGGAAGGCGAAGGAGGTTCCATTCGAAAGGACCGATGATGCAGCCACCTCCCACACCACCCGGGCCAAAGGCCAGGGAACGGCAAAGCCTCAACAGGTACAGATCGTACCAAGCAATCCCCTGGCGGGTGGCACTCTCACCCATCTCACAATAGGGGCCCACCGCCTCACCCAGCCACCTGGCAGCAGCCATGCAAGGCGGGCGGATCTCCGCACATTCCAGATATATTCCCCTCAGGATGAATGCTACGGCAGGTCACAATCTGACTTGCTCCAGTCCGCCTCACGCGCACGCGCACGCCTTCACGCTCCCTTCGGTCCCCAACAAAGTGCTACTCTCTTTCTCTCTTGCAGCAGGAATCGCTGTCACTAGGATTAGTTCGCACGAACGATGTGCGCGAAGGACATCGTCCTTGGCGTGGTGCCGCTAAGAGATGAAACAGGAATACAAAAGGCACAATTAAAATCATTACCGCTGCGCAGTGCACCCAGTAGCACCTCACGTCCCGGCATGCAAGGAACCCACAACCAAGACCCCTCACTGCCCCAGGCTCCACTTCCTGGAGCCTCAGCAAGCGCTGGATGTAGGGCTAGGTAGCCCCAGAGGATTTCCAATCTCGAAGATGCGGAGCTGCACAGTCGCAACTAAAATCAGTCCTTGCTAAAGACCTTGGCACTTTTCGGCGCTGAGGCGAGTGAGAGGTGGTCGAGGCGCAGGGTGGGGTGCAGGGTGGGGTGCAAGGTGAGAGGTCGACTATGAACTTCTAGGAGCGGGTGAATGAGTTCAGGCGTAAACAATGGTGATGGGGGTACCCCCCGGCGTTAGAACTACCGGCGGAGCTCCGCCCCCAGACCGGGACTCCTTCACCCCCTCCCGTATGGCCGACCGGCCGCCTCCGCTGCAGCTCGGTGAAGGTGAAGCCGACGACGCAACCGCCGCACGCGACTTGGCGGACCACGGCAATGAGGGCGGCGCGCCCCGCCACAAAAACGCGGGGCTAACAGGCCTTTCCGTCAGCACGTCGGAGCCGTCCTGCCATACCGTACTGTCCTGCACGTGCGGCGTCTGCGGTGACCGGAGCATGGCAGTAAGGTACGTCGGGGCTACGTACCGGTGCCCTGCCGCACCCCCAGAGTTTCCGCCGCCTCTAGGACTCCCGTAGCCAGTGCCGGCATCAGGCCCGCAGGCGCCGGCGCTGCGTGCCCGACCTGACCGTGGCGTGGAGGACGGCGTCGCGAGGTTCACAGCTTTCCTGTACGGCCCTGGTGGCGGCGGTGAGAGGTGCGAGTTGAGGTTGTCTAGGAAGCACGGATGGGGTCCCCCGGCAGCTGCGGTGGTAGTGGCCCAGGACCTCCCAAGACGGGTCAGGTTGCGACCCGTGATGAGCCCTGACGAGGATGATGGCAGGGGCGATGGCAGAGGCACAGGACCAAAAAATGGCGTGGGTGAAACATCGTGATGATGTTGTCATGAGCCTGTGCTAGCAAGCCCAAAGTTCACAGTAGCAGCAGCAGCAGCGACAGCGTCTGTAACCAGTGCCGACTCCTCCCCAACCGCCTTTCCAAAGCGATGCTATCCCCTATCGATCTCCGCGGCTTGTCAGGGGCCCTCCCTTGCCCTTCCGTCCTCTCATCCTCTCCCCTTCCCATTCTCTTCCCGTCTGCGTCCCCGACCCGAACGGGCGAACACCCCCCCCCCCCTGACGTTACCTGGTTTCGGAGCTCCGCGAACCTTACGGAAGTGCGGCTGGGAGTGAGAGAGGGAGTGCGGGCTGAACGTGACATTGCGGCCGCTCAGGTCGCCCAACGCCGAGCGTGCCGTTGCTGCTGCTGCTGCTGCAGCGGTCTCCGCTACTGGCGGCGCACTGCCGGGCCTCCGGGTGGGGACCAGGTCCTACGGGGCGCCCGCAACCCGACGGTGTGTCACCCCGTGCAAATGCATAGTCATGCAGAGCCCAACATGGCGAAACACAGCGAAACATCGGAATGTCAACACGGATAACAACATCTTGACGAGGAATGATGACATGCGCACAAGCCATGGTAGCGTAGGAGCACCAACAGGGCCCCCCGCACAGGAACAACAGTTTCTACGGCGCTGTAATGCCGCACGTGTCGACACGGTGATTTGAGGGTTATCCCTTCCCGCAACTTGCAGCTATTTCGTGCCTAGGTCTTCCCCAGTATAGAGGCTTCTCCCCCGCTGTACTTACCCACCGTAAGCTTCAGCAGCAGCCACATAAAGCACAGAGAGAAAATACGCGCCTGGCGTAGTGAGCCGTCACGCACACGCGCTTGAAATCCTCTGGAATTGCGAATCGCGAGCACTCACCGGCGAGTAGGGTGGCACCAGCGGCTTGGGCAGCTGTAGATTGCAGTACGGGTGCTGTTGCTGCTGCAGGTGTGGGATCCGGTTCATGTGGCGATCCGGCGAGGCCCGGTCCGCGACGGTGGCCGCCACCGGAGATCGCATCACGTGGGCAAGCGTCGTGCTGACCGCGTAGCTGGTGTGCCGGAGAGGCTCACTGGGGAGCCAAAGCAGTAACAGCAGAGCAATAACAATGCAGCAGCGACGGCATCAGCATTGGTGACGACATGAAGTGGCAGTAAAATCAGCTCAGCGTCAGTTTGAGCATCGGCGCGAAGGTGAAACACGTCGGTGTGTCGGGCGATGGATGTCCGACTGTTCTAACATATAAACCGGATTTTTCTAACATATGATCCTCCGAATCCCCGCTGCATCATCATTCCGAGCACCAATCAATACCAAACCCACAACGCGTCGCCTGACATCGCATCGCAACCACTTTTCCCATCCCTTCTTCAGTCCACATCGCCATACCTAAGCCACTGCGCCCGCGGCCGTCACCTCCCGGGAGAAAGCGCCCCCAACGTCACCCTGCGCCCCCAACCTAACAAAAGCAAGGAAGAACCAGAACCCATTTACCCATGTCCCTGATCCCGATAACAGTGGATTAGGATGCCGCGACAGCAGAAAATAACTTGACAGCGAGGCAATCATAGAGGCTCATGGAGTGCTGCACATCCCCCGCTAAACAATAATGCAGCTGAAGGATGCCGTGTGGCAGCGAGGGCACGTGTCGCCCACAGAGCCCTCAGCTCCCCCAGGCTTCGGAGCTCGATCTCACTTAATTAGTCGCTCCAGCTCCAGCGCGGACGCCAGCTGCTGCCGCTCCCAGGCCAGCCGCCGCACGTAGTCGTCATTAGACGTCCGTGCAGCGATCTCCTGCGCGAGCTGCTGCTGCGCAGCGGAGAGGTGGTTGGACAGCTCCGCGGCGTGCTTCTCGGCCTTGTTCCTGTCCTCGACGGACAATCCGTGGGAAGAGGTAAGTCCGCGGCCGGTCGGTCTTCAGGCGCTAGTTAGCTACCAGTGATGTGCTGTGGGGAGCAGCTTAGGATTTGGCTGTGACGGGGATGATGAGCAGCTGTGCGCTACGACGGCGCCATGGCGTGCGACGTTTTCTAAAAGGGGAGCTAGATGGCAGATGCCTCCTTAGGAAAGCACTGAAAAGCTCATGAGGGGTTGACGTAACTGCCCCGCCGTACCAGTCGTACTGCATGGAGAATGCTTTCCGTGTGGACATTTGTGCACGTTCGGTATTGGGTGCTTTACGGCGGCAAAACGCTGCTCCGCAAGGCTAGCTGATGTTAAGATCCGTCGGGTCGTTCCATATAAAAGTGTAAAATTGTCAGGAGCCAAACTCACTTGCGCTGCTTGAGGTCTGCCACAAGCTGGCTGGCACGTTGCTGCAGCGCCGACATAGAGCTTTGCAATTGTGCCACCTGGTGCATGGCAGCATCCTTGAGCGCTGCTTCGGCTTGCACAGAAGTCAATTCCTTCTGCAATGACTGGCTCTCCGTCTGCAAACAAATGCAATGTGCATATGGTATTGCTTTGAACAGGACGGCCGTGGAAACGTTTCCAGCACACCTGCAAGCCGGCAACCGTCTGCTGAAGTGAATCGACGCGCTGCAAAAGCTCATTAGTGACTTCGGTGGAGGCATGTCTGAGTCGCTGATGCTCGGCGTCAAGTTCCGAGTATGCCTCCTCTGACGCGCGCAAGCCGGCATGCAAGCCCGATATCTGGCCCTGCAATTTTACGCAAATGGGACAAGGACTAACCGCATTACCATCCAGCACCAGAAACTGGGTTACATCTTTCTAGCATTACGGTGTTGAAAGGGCTTCCGACGAACCTTTAGGAGCCTGTCCGCTTCGGCTTTTGCGATAGTCAAGGCGTTTAATTCCTCTTCCTGCAGAAGCGAACACCTACAGCATTACAGATTTCTCCTCTGCAGCCTGTCCACTGTAACACAGCTTTACCAATTGTCGCTTGTCCCGCACAAGTCCATCCCTTTCAAGCTTTGTTGCCGTAAGGAGGTTGTCATAGGCCATACGATACTCATGGACAGCAACTTGGCTGCCTTGAAGGGTTCGATAGACGGCATCGTCACGTCGGAAGATATGGAAGGCAGGACCTTTCGCAGAGAGCGATGACCATGTCATACGGACCATCTTTACATGATTTTCTAGCGTTCAATAGAAGACCTTCATAACACGCAAGAGCCACCAGTTCATGCGTTTAGGTGCATGACCAATAATCGCTACAGCCCCAAATTTAGGCTTAGGTGCCTCCTCCTCTACCTGCCAGTTGCTATGTACATGGATGAAAAATTGGAATCCTCCTATCGCTCGGTAGCGTGGCCGTCTGGCTATGCTCTCCCCATGCCCAAACCCAGCCCAACCTGCATTTGCCCCGGTACGGCACAAACTTAACAGCTGATGGTTCCTTTGCAGAGAAGATGCCAAGTCACATCATATGTTTGACCAAGTATACGCGCCACTCGTTCATCCCATCTCACCAGAATACGGAACCACCACATAACCTGCAAGCTGACCCGCCGAGGAGAACTGCGGTGAACGCCTCCGAGCACCCGAACTCTCAACATGCGGACAACCTCGCAACGTCGCGCGCACGATTTAATATGCGACCCCTTGCCGCACATGCACGTTGAGTTCGTCCACGAGGGTGGAAATGTTGCTGGCGAGCTGCCGGTAGTTTGTCTCGCTCTCCTTTGCCTTTATGAACTCGTTCATCTCGAATACCCCCGAGTTCAACGTCTTCAGCTTGGCCTCCATCTTCTCCAGCTGCACTTGTAGGTTGTGATCCTGCCAAAGCATTACGACCAACGGAAGTCGCAAAGCTCAGCGTTATTATAGTGTTGCTCATCCCTGGCACACGGCCTCATCGCTGTATGGACTACACAAGTGGTAGGCTTGCAGCCTAGCACTTCACAGCCCAAGGCGTTATGGCACGCACAGAAACGAAAATCATGCGACAACCCTTTCCGGGTGGGAGGCCTTCCTGCCACATGCTGTCCACGGAAGAGACGCGTCCGCATGACCTCCGAATGAGCACCGCATTTGCCCAGCTAGGCCCCTCTCACTCCCCACCTGCAGCTGCGCGCGCTTGGCCTGGAACTTGAGCCCCTTCTCCGCCACGATGGAACGCAGCAGGTCCTTGCGCTTCAGCATCGCCGACCTTAGGCCTTCCATGCGCTCGCGTGTGAGCTGCGCCTTGCGCTGGATCTCCTCCACCTGCACGACGGGGGAGCAGAGAGATTGATACGTGAGGAAAATTCGGGGTGTAGAAGGAACAGCCCCACATCGGTGCGCGGCTACCGCGCACAGCGTCACGTTGGCAGGAAAAAACAAAGAGTCAGCTGGGCCAATGCAGGCACTGATCGCCCAAAGTAATGGAGAGCCAATCTTTTGAAGGCATCTCCGTGTGAAGTCCTCAGCCCCGGTACAACGACCCCGTTGCAGTCGGCGCCTCGGACACCCTGCTAAGCAACACCCTGTTAATTGGAGGTGCAGCCGGGACCAGCACTCCCATAAAGCCATGACGCTTTACCAGAGGACCTGGATACAGGTCCACGATAATCAATGAAGATACGCCGGCCGTGCGACATGCTACGACACCAGCTACTGCAAACGTGACCCTCAGCTGTCCGCATGCGCTGTGGCGTTCTCGCCCTGCACATGGCAACATGGACTTACGCTGCCAAACTCAGCCATTTCCTTTTCCATCGCCGTCTGTCGATCCGCCAGCTGCGTAAGCTCCAGTTTGATCTTGTCCTCCAGTGTGTCGATCTTCTCAAGCTCCGTCCGCCGCATGGCCAGCTCCTACGTTACCAGCACAGCGCAGAGCCACCACCGACGCAAGAGTTCAGCTAGGAAGAAAGTCCGGCATCTTGATGACTAAAGCAATCCTAACATGTACTGGTTAGTACTCAATTGTGGCTGCTCCTTGTTCTGTTGGCTTCGGCTTTTTTTATTCAGCACCGCCAGGTGCGGTGAGGAGTGACATATCCCCAAGGTTACGCAGCTGCATATCGCTCCGCGCACATTGGCGGCTTCAACACGAAGATTACCGAGCGTAAGACGGGCATTCTCCGTCCCCGTTCCCCGGGGCAGTTGTGCGCACCTCCTTGAGCCGCTCCTGCGTCGTCTGCGTGTTCTCCAACTGCATCTTCTTGTACTCCAGCTCGTCCTGCATCTCCTTAAACTTTTTCTGCGAGGGCAGCGCGGACCCGATGATGCCCTGCATCTTGACCACCTTCTCCAAGATAGCCACGATGCCGTCCTCCTTGGACTGCTTCTCCTGTGGACGGTAAAGTGGGGGTGGTAGTCAGAAGGTGGGAGACTATGTTAAGCCAAGTCAGCAGGTATTGCTGTTCGGTTTCGCGGACTGTAAGGAAACCCAAAGGCATCAAACCCACAACACCAGCTGTTGCCATCTTTCAGAAGCGTAGCCTGGGTCACAGCAAGGGTAGTGCGAGGCCCTTGCCTCTGGCCAACCAAGTCATAGCGAGCAACCCCATTACGATCGTCTGGCTTCGCACATGCATGCCCTCCAATTATAGGACGCTCGGATTTGACAGTAAACCACTGCAAAAGCAATGCAGCAGCGCGCGGGCTCCCCCACGGGTAGCTTCGCCGACCGCAGGTGCAGCGTGGACTGCCTTGCAGCAGCATCCTAAACCATCTAACATTGTCGACACGTGCGTTAATCTGACCTGCATCTTAGCGGCCTTGCGGCTAGGGAAGCCATCCATAAAGTTGTTCAGGTCGCGCTCCTTGGCCAACAACTCCTCAAACTTTTCACGGTTGGCCTTCTCCTCTGCGGCCGCCGCACCGCTAGTGGCGCCGCCCAGGGCTTTGACCCGCTCCTCCATCTTCTTGATCTGCTCCTGTAGGTCTCGGATCTGTGCCGCGGCAAAGAAAAGGACGGAGCCTTGCAAGGTAGTGTCTCAAGCGCGCCGCAGTGCAGGCCTTTTCAAGTAGGCGTTTTGCGCCGAACCACCCCCCCATGAATAGTCCCACATCATCGCCAAGCCACCCAACACCGCAATGAGGACTTTCATCGGTAAGATAAGCTTCTTAAAGACATAACCAACTATTTCTCTCCCGCTTACCTCGGGTTCTGCTCTTGCGTCCCACCCCTTTATTACCCAGATCCCGCACCACGGGATCGTCACGAATTCCGGGGGCCCGGGGCACACAAAGTCATGGGGAGATGCACAGTCCCTGATGCCGGGCTGCGGCCCACCTGCTGCGTCATGTTCTCCACCTCAGTGTTGTCGCGTTTGATCTTCGCCATGAGGTCAGCCCGCAGCTCCTCGGGGCTGCGCTTGCTCTGGCGCTCCTCCTCCGTCAGCTCGTACTTGCGTTCCGTGAGCGCCCGGATCTGCTCCTGCAGCTGCAGGCTGCGCTGCTTGAAAGGGTTGCGCGCCAATTCGCCCTCTGAGGCTTGCAGCTGCTTGTCCAGGTCCTCAAGCACCTCCTCGAAGCGCTTGCTGTCGGCCTGTTAGAGGGCGGGACAACAGCGCACAGGCGGCGGCAGATGAGGTCGCGGAGCTGGCAAAACACGGGGGAAGGAGGAGCCGATGCGTGGGCAGGCAATCGGCGAACGGAAGATGATGTATTGTTTGGAGAATTTGTCCAGCAGGTCGCCCTCTCAATGCTGCCTTGGTGTGGGCCATCGGCAAGGACATCAGAGCGTTCGGGTGGAGGGCGCATCTAGTCCGAACCCATAGCCAATCCCCGGACTCGAGCCCAGATCGTCCATCTCCTCCATGAGGCCGAGTATGCCATCGCCGGACATCCGGCTGGACAGCACCGACAGACATCTAAGTCATATGCCTTTTTTCGCTTCCTTCTTCTCCTCTCAAGCATGATACGACCCCCTCAGCCGTCACCACCGCGATCTCAACCCGCGTCTGACCCTTACGAGCGGCACACGTGTCAGCCGTGAGGGGACCCCGTCCTGACCTGCAGCTGCTGCTGCTCACTAATGAGCTCTGCGTATTGCTGGCGCTGCGACGGCGGCATCGAGTTGAGACGCTGATCCATCGACGACTGGATCTCCGCCATCTTGGTCTCGGCCTGAAGCGTGTGAGAGTGCGAGGGGCAACATTTAAGGCCAGCAGTCAGTCTTCGTTCGCGTGTTTGACCGGGGTCATAGACAGAATCGCCCCCAATGGTTCCCAACGGCGAAAAGGTGTTTCACCCCGCCTTCGAGTCTTTATCACCCCGATGTCCGAGTCCTTTCCTCCAAACAGAACCCTATGCCAAGTGTGTTTTCAGCGCTACCTTACGGACGATTTGTTACAGGATGGACCTATGCTCTAACCCCGCAAACAGAGTCATTAGCATGTGGCGCTGCAAGCAACTGTGCAAAGCGTGTCAGCAGAAGAAGGGCTACCTCTTCGTATAATGCATACTTGGTCGCTCAATATCGAAATGATTCGAATAGCATTATTAGCGGGTTTAAGGCAAGGACGTTTGCTGCGACCACTGGAGAACCGCAAACCCAGGTGTCCATCAGACCCATCCAAATCCCCAACTATTGCTCCCCCCCTCCCTACCCTTGTTGCCACACCAAAGCCACTCAGTCACTTTTCCATAACATTCCTGAACACCACACCGTACAAGGAACATTAGAAGTTTTCCGTAATGCTGCCTCCCGTGCCTGTCCCCTTCCAACTACCTGCTTCGCCTTCGCCTCCAAGTTCAGCCGCTCCGTCAGCACCTCATCGACACGCTTGCGCTGCTGTTCGTTGCGATCGCGGAGCGCAGCGTGCTCTTGCTGGATCATGAAGATTGGTGTCTGGGATCCAACCTGCATAGACGTAGATGCGGTGTAATAAGCGAAAGGAAGCCGGCTTTTGTGGGCCGAAAATAGAAGGACGATCCGTCTTCAGTGCGTATACCGATTGTAAGTAAAATATTGAGATTTAAGCAGGCCGAAACCCTTGTATAGGGTATTGAGGGAGCGTGAAGGGAGTCGAAAAGGCAATGGAGCCCTAGTCTCGTCCCAAGCCTCCGCTCAACCACCCCTACCTAACCCCACCAACCCGCACGGACACAACTTCCCAAGCTTTTATTATTGGGTACCAGCAGCAACGTGCACAACGTACCTTGTCAAGCACCGTATTGTAATCCGCAAGAGCCTCTTGCAGGATTTTGACCTCCTTCGACAGGTCGGTTGCCCTCTTATCCATGCTGTTGTACTGAGCCTGCTTCCGTTCTAGGGCCTCCAAGTCCGACTGCGCAGCATCCACGCAGTACATCAGTAAGTCAAGGATCGAGAAAAACAATACTTCTGGTCATCCTGCCATATGACCTGGTAACTGATGTGCTGTGGCATGTCGCATGCGGTCTGCGACCTTTGCTCACCTTCATTTGCTGAGTGACTTGGGCTATTTCCATGCGTTTTTGCCGAAGTTCATTCATGAAATAGTTCTTGTCGAGGACTTGGCGACCCACGCCGGTGGCTGCCGTCTTCATACCGGACACGCCATGGTTGGTGATGGGCCGGTTCTCCACTTGCAGGCTCTGACCAGCCCGCGCGGCTGCAGCTGCCGCGGCTGCTTGCTGACCGGTTCCCGGACGCTGAGACGCCGTTCCAAGGCGCTTATAGGCAGTGCCGGGCGGGCCACCGGCAGGGCCCGGCCCTCCGCGCATGGCGGTGCCAGGCGGTCCGGCACCGATAATGGAGCCCCCAGGCGGTCCTCGCATTCCAGCTGGACCTCCAGCTGCAGGTCCCCTGCTACCTGTCATGGGTCTGTCCGGAGCTGGGACAGCTGATCCAGTCGGAGCTTTCCCAAGGCCCCCCGACTGCGACAGCGCTAGGGCGCCGCGGCTGGACGGTCGATCCATCTACAGCCGACGGCTCTAAAACTGCAGTTTATTTTAGAGTGTAGAAGCCAGGTCTAGACAGATGCTGCGACCACAAAGTTCGGAGGAAAGATGCTTATATGCAAGTCGAAGTTGACTCCAAGAGCAACGAGCACATCTAATATATTCGCCTGCTGAAACTAAATTGCTGACTTTACTGCTGGGAAATTGGGAGAGACCTTCACAGGAAGCTCGGCCAAATTCATCGTACGGAATGTTACAAGAAGCTCATGCTCAAATTGTTCCTAACCATAATTTACACTTTCTTTCAATAACTCCGCTTGCAAAACCATCAGCCATGTGTTTAATGTGTCTTACGATGCCCTGATGTCCCGGGAGCACCTTGAACCACGGGTTTCTGCATTCACACAGGATAACAACCTGTAAGAAAGCATGTTGGGCAAGTATATTGCATAGCCAGGGGCTTACCTGCTCCGATGCGAAAGACCGGAGCGTATGTACAATGGCCCCTGCGTTGTTTTGGATGTACCCATGCGCCCTACATGCGAAGGATAACGTTCAGGGCGCCTACCAATAATCAAGAAACACGCCCTATAAACAAGGGGAGTGCGAACGCGAGAGGAGCAGAAACAAGTGCAGACACACCGGGGCCCCCTACTGCAAGGAAGTCAACGTTACATGCAAAGCAAGCAAACTTAACCACCCCGAAGCACTCACGTGTTGACCTGCCTAGTCACGGCGTCCGCGACGCGGGCGCGTGTTTCAGCGAATAGACGGTCGATTGTTGCTTCGTGCTGTCGGAGCAACGGCGATACGTAACTGTATCAAATAACAAAACGCAAAGGGCAGTTTGATATACCAGCAGGGTGAAGGTGAACCGCTCACTGGCAGCGCTTACCTGTCGTACAATGTGATGGCTGCGTGTGTTCTAGGATGCCAAAGCGCCACAACGAATGCCAGCTTCGCCTCGTAGTACAGCGGCAGCCTTTATAAAGCCCCCAAAGGTTACCATGTGGAAATACGGCGCCCCATACCATCAAATTGGCAATTGACAGCGCTTCGTACATGCTAAACAAGTGCAGCACGTTGGGTCTTCGCTCCTCGAGACGATTTCACGAGGGGGTCCTTACTGGCCAAGGAGCCGGCAGTGCGACACAGCCATGACAAGCTAGCCCTTCCACCCAACCCGCTTACCAGAAAATGGTCAGGTCCGCAACCCACTCAAGGCAGAGGAAGAAACCCATGAGCAGCCTGGATAGAAAGTGCGCCAGGAGATGACACTAGACTCCAAATGTGCATGTCGCAAGTATAATAACTGGCCATCGGATAATGCAAGGTTCATATGCCGCGATGTTGGTATCGCTGCACCGCGCAGTGCCCCATGTCAACCAGCAGTACCCGCGAGGGAAACCCGCTTGCCCAGTATCGCCACAAGACTGTCATATGATTGCCACAGTCCATGGTTTCCCCCAACATTTCCCCGTTCACAAGAGTAGCAGAAACGTCCCGAAACAGTAAACGGAATGCCCTTCCCAGGAGGTCCGTTTCTCGTGAGGACCCGCAACGCGGCATCAGAGTCGATTGCAAGGTAACTCACCAGTATACGCACCAATGCCGAAGCTGTTGGTTATTTCCTGAACTAACAGCCTTGTGAGTCATATAGGCTGGAAAGGCGCAGCCCAGCGCAGCCCTTGCAAAAGTGGGGGAAAACCCTCGTCATTCGCGCGAATTCAGCTGTAAAGGCGCTGTGACATTGCTACCCACATAAGAACCCTGCATATGGGCGCCGAAACGAGCATGGTTGCGAATCGGAAGCGAATGCAAATATTCGATGCTTCAGCTTCCCAACTAATTCCGTGACTACAACATGTAAATGAAAGAACGAGCAATGATCTGGTAAGCCAACAGGGTGATTGGCCGAATACTCGACAGAGACATTTTTGTATGTTGCACGACGTACGGTCCTCCCGAAATTATGGGGCGCAGGGATGGCTAATGACCAATTTTCGATCCATGTAATGCATGTTGGAAGCTGATTGATGGAGTAAATAGGGACATGACAACCACAAAAGACACCCTTCGCGATGCAATCGCCATCGGGGCACCCATTTACAATTCGGGTGATCCAGGCAAGCCCAAAACATCATATGTGCGAAATAATGTCATAGTGTCGTGACGCTGTACTTCTCTCCCTGTGCCTCGCTGCAGCCGGTTGCCTCAGAACCTACGTTAAGGCTGCGGTAGAGGTTATCGATGGCACTAAAGCAACAGATTCTGAACGCTCTGTGCTCAGGTAGGTGGGTTTGTCCAACGGCTTTTTAATTTTTGCGACATCTATCCGTTGGAGTCCTTCCTGGGCAGGCCTGGGCCACGTGATAGGGTTTTCCATGGCACAATCTCCCCCTAGATCCCCCTCACCTCCACCCTCTGGCGTTCGCCCGATCTACTATTTGCGTAGTGTGCCCACATCCATTGCGCAATGTGATCCCTCATTGCTGGGGACGGCCGAACCTGTAACACGTATGTGTTTCTTGGCAAAGGGAGACGAGCCCTTTCGAACGCTTTTTACATACGATTAAGCCTTGCATGTTCGCGGAATCCGAGCAGCTGACACCAGGACCGCGACGCGACCCCTATCTGGCACCCACAGGAACGCGGTTGGTCGTGCCACGGAGGTTATGAGCAAAGATGAAGGCGCCTGGATTATGCGGAGAGCCTTTGATTCCATCCTGAGCGGAGCAGTGGCGGCCCAGGAACGTGTTGCAGAGCAAGCTGCTAGGTTGGGCGAATTCGAGGTCCTGTCTTTTGAAAATGGGCTACCCTCGACGCCGCGTTGGCGTATCCTGGATGACGTGGTGAGTTGGCGCTGTGGTAGTTAGAAGGCAATATGAGCAGGGTTTACAGTAGTCCGGGGCCACTCTCCCCAACCAGGTGACGTACAAAAGGTAGAGGCGGGTGGCCCAGCGCGTTGGACCTAATGCGGCGTCTGATCGCGTCAAAGAAGGACAGGGATTTCCAAATTTGGATTTCATACCACGGGACACTACCACGGTATACGTAAATGGCGGCTGCTTAGCGCACCTGGGGGTGTCTTACGCACCCGCTTTGCTCCACTTGCCTGGAACTGTGACCGTTTCCCGCCACCCGTTTGGACGCTTGCCCGCCCATGCCTTCGCAGATTATGGGCGGCAGGTCCCAGGTGCGCCCCCGGGACTTTTACTTGGGGCTAATGACTCATCCCGGACTTGGAATCCCTCGTTTTGTCAGGAATTGAAACTAGGGGTATGTCTTTGCCTGGACACGGCTGTGCATTACGACTCCTCTCTGTGAACGCTATCACCCACCAGAGCGAGGGCCTGGCATTTGAACCTGCGGAAAGAGCCGCTGTGTTCAGCGGTCGTGTAACAACGGATGGGGGCGGCGGATTTGCAAGCCTCAGATCGGACGAGTGGGCCGGCTTCGCAAGCCTCACCGCAGCGAGGGGCATTCGGATCTTGGTAAAGGGCGACGGGAGGCAATACAAGCTGAACGCTAAGGTAAGCCTGACCTGTGCCCCTCGCATATGTAACTGCCCAACTGGAAGATCGACACATAACGCCGCTGCAAAGCAGGTGTCGCATTACGCGAACAGTCCTCTCCCGATTCCATGGTCAGTAGTAGGCATGCCGCGGCTCTCTTCACACCCATTTCGTTAGACCCGTGTGTAATGTGGCCTGATGTGAAGTATTTGAGGTACGTAACATCCTAAATTGCTTTCATGCTGCAGACGGACGCGGACTGGGACGGCGTGCAGTACCAGTACGACTTTGTAGCACCCCCCGTCTGGGGCCAAGTGGACCTGCCATTCTCTGCATTTAAGCCCACCTTCCGAGGACGGCTGGTTCCAAACCGGCCGCCCTTGCAAGGACAGCAGATTCGACAGCTGGGGCTCATGGTGTCTAAGTTCACAGCGGACGGGGGTGTCATAAGCAACTTCCGAAATGGGTCTTTTCGGCTTGGTGTTCGTTGGATAAAGGGCTTCGTATGACGGAAGTGGGTGTGAATCACCCAATAACTGAGCATGACCAGTCTTGTACGTTTCAATCGACGTGAATACGGTTATCCGGTATGATTTGTCCTAGTTGAGATATGCTGGTCAAGTGTCGTGAGTCTCCTTAATCACAGTAGTCTCCTTGATCACTGTTAAATAGGTGAAAAAACAGGTTGTTCTGACCGGGACTCCCCATGCTACCAGCCATGGTTCACGCACAAATACCGTGCACCCTGAACTGCCCGAATACGCACGCATTATGCTCAATTAAAGATATAACCTTACACTTGCTCGTTCGTGTTCTTTGTCTCGCAGCCACTGCGGCTCAAGGCACCCCCGCGCATCACGATATACTTGTAACAGTTGCCAGCCACCCTACACAACAACAAGTCCAGCCGCCATGGTCATGTAGTAAAGCCATTGCATGCTTGTACAGGACGGGCCCCAGAAAACACACAGCGCTCCTGTCACTTTCCCAACCACGCCAAGAAGGTCCATCACGCCTTTAGAAAGTCAAGCTTGTCCTTGCTCAGCATCAGCTTCTGAACGCACAGCAGGGCTTGCTTTTGAACCTCCGCGTCGCTGTGGCTGAGCAGGCGCATGACCAGCTCTTTTCCGCGCAGATCATTGACAATATACCGCCCCTGCGGATGGTTCACAATAAACTGGCCCAGGTCGTGGCAGCCAACGGCCAGCGTCTTAACCTGCGAGATCGTTTTACAGACGGGGTGCCCGGCCAGGGACAGAAGAGGTCAGCGTAATGAATGTCAAGATGAAGGGGTAAGGCCGCCATAAGAATCACCGCTTGCACGCTAGCTTATGAGCCCATCCTGCAATGAACTGAACCTCTAGGGATCGACATTGTGCTCAAAAATGTTCCCTGCGCCCCAAGCAGCACAGAATACCAACCTGGCCTTTAGTGTGCGGCACGAAGGAATTAATTGTGAAAGGTTCCCCCCTGCACACCTGCAATTTCTCTCTAAACCTCAACCCGCCCTGATACCTCGCCCCCAGGACCAGCCCCAAAGCCCAAGGACACTCACATCGCGGTTCGTCTCAATAATCTTTAGCAGTACCCGGAGCACCTGGAAGTCGCGCTCCTCAAACTTCTCCACGTTTTCACGCCAGAACAGGTCTGAGGAGTGCATGGGACTCCAGTCCAGCTGGCCGCTCATCACCTCCTTTTTGTACTTCTCAAAGTTGGACAGGATAATGATACCCTGCTTCAGTTTCTCTTCAACAAAGCCGAGCATTTCGACGACGTCGTCGTCACCCCACGACTGAAGCTGCCGAACGATGACAACCTAGCGGAGCACAAACATGCATGCCACGTTAACAGTAAATAATGCATTTCTGACGAGTACGACAGTAACAAACCCGCTGTCGCTGAAAAGCCACCACGGCATCGTTCGTAATACAGGTGGTTCCCTTATGGGATTTGCAAGGCGAGGTCTTCACTAGCCAGGCCTCATTTAATGGCGATGCGTTCAACTACACCGACCACTTTCCACAACGCCGCCTGCCTAACAGGCGATCCGATAAATAATTCCTTACCTATAAACCTGGGTACCTGCTTCGCATGGCTGCACAATAGCTTAGCCCCATGACCCATCGCATGCTGCGTTCTCAACCCCTGCTGCCGGCCACGCATCCCATCCCACTTCACCCGCAACCCACTTTGTTCAGCCCGGCCTCCACCATGTCGCTAGCCAGACCCAGATCCTCGTACGCCAGCAGATTCCTGAGCGACGCCAGCGCCAGACGGAAAACCTTCTCCTTCTGCGCGACGCGACACACCTCCACTAGCAGCTTCACAAGCCCCACCTGGGACATGACCTCTGCCGCGGCGCGCAGGTAGGTCATCTGCCAGACGCACAAACACGTCTCGTACAGCAACTGTGAGCTGGTGGGCGAGTCCTTCGCGCGCTGCACAACGGCCGGCAAGGCCTGGAGGTCGAATGGCCCAGTTCAAGATGGAACACCGGCGGAAAGTCAAAGCCACGCGGATGGCAAGAAAGGTGGGCCATAGGGCAGGTCCTGGTCTTCGTGCGAGTCATCAAGAGCATGTACCCTTTAGCCTTTACTTGACAAAGGAACCACGGGCCACCAGAAGCATGTAGTACCGTGTGAGGCTGCATGGTCCATCGCTCACCAGCATACATGCCTTCCAGGACGCAGGCCGCTATATAATTGGAACGTAGCAGCACGCGGCACAAATATTTCCATGCGTTCCGCAAGCTTTATTGTAGGTAGGTTTTGTCTTCGCGCGCAACAATGTGAAGCCGACTTACAAGGCCCATCAGGCCCCCTCAGAATAGTTCGAGTCCATGGCTGCCTGTACTAGGTTGTAGGAGGAGAGCAATCCGGAATCTGGGCATGTGGCCTGCCCGCCCTGCGACCCTTCAAACTGACGCCATGTAAGCCCCTTCTTACTTCCCTTACCTGCAAGCCGCCTGCCCGGAGGAAAAGCTGTCGGATGCCCCGCTCCTTCAGTAAAGCAGCCAAACAGCTAATGCATGTGTTTATGACCACGGGCGGGTTCTTGTTGAGGTAGGCCCGATTGCTGAGCTGGCTGACGAGCCAGTCAAGGAACAAGCTGATGTGCTGCGTGCCACAACAAGCCCCACATTAGTCGGAGGCCGATCGCGTGTCAGTGGCGTAACGCAACGTGAAGCACCCACTGGCGTACCGTTTCCGCGGGGTCGACCGTAGCAGTGTATGCCGCCCCGTCTGAGGTGCCCGCACCGTTCACCACGCCCACCGCCTTGCGCGGCCGGCTTTCAATACTTATCGTTAGGAGCTTGCAAGCTTTGTCCTGTGACCACCAGTCGTCCTGGCGTTGCAGCAGCCTGCAGGATGCAAGTGTACCGTGTGTAAGTGCGCCGTGCTACCACGAAGCTAGCAGCAGCCCTTACCGACTGACCTTTCGAGCACTGTATAAGGGTCAGGCTGAGCAGAAAGATGTTGATCGCTTGGTTGGTGAAACAAGCGAGCGCGAGAAGGGTTCTCTGCAAAATGCCGGAGAGCGATTCTCTTTCAATCAAGTCGCCGACTGTCACCTTTGCTGTGTGCGCACCTTGCAGCATTTGAATCAGCAACGCCAGAACATACTGAACTGTATCCGGTTGGGTGACGTTCTTGAGCACTGTCATGAAGGCCTCCACATAGGCTGGTCCAGACTGCGAGATTGAGGATCGGAGTCCGTTTCCACCAATATGACCCAAAGCCTTCCAGCTGCCAACACACCTCATCCAACATCGAGGACTTCAGCTCGGGAGAGCGTTTGTCATAGCGCCGAATCAGCTCAAGGTCTTTATCAGTGATAAGCCTAGCTGTGGCATAAGTGTCCCATTGGATATCCCGAAAGGTGATTTCCGACCATTTCTGACTTGTTTCGGGTGAGCCATCATCATTTAAGTATGAGTAGGCCATGTTGCTGGGGCGCCCTAAGCGGGCCACCCGTCCTAGGACCTCTGCAAAGCTGTTATCACTGCTATGTATTCAAAAGTGCCGGAGGCAGATCGCAACCTATGCGCATGCTTTGCACGCACACGAATTGTGTGAAGAATGACAGTTTTACTGGAGTCCTTTCCTGCCGTACGGCCACTCTACTTCCCTGCGAAACAGGCTTTGCACCGTTATGATGCAATTCCAGACGAGTAAGATATCAGGCTTATTTTACCCAGACCTGCGGTCTCTCACTGCTGACTCTAGAGGTTTGGTAACGCACTAGCAAAGCGACGTTCAGCATAGCAGACGTGAGTAGCCCCGTTAAAGCGTGAGTAACACCAAGACATGCCTAGCAAGCCAAGCGAAGAACGATCCCCTAGATCCAGCTGTCAGTCAGCTAACGGGTTAGAGGAGCCGCTTTTGCTCCCCTCCGAAAGCGATGTCTATGGAGGTCAAACGGGGAAGTCCCAAATTGTTTTGGAACTTGGCAGGTAAGGCAAAACATACAATTTCTTGGTCAAAGCAAGCAGGAGGACGTGCAGTCCTAACCTCCCAACATGCGAAATTTGACACATGGCCCCACTCTGGCCAACACCAACCACGGAATCTTTCGGAGCAACGCCAGAGCCACATTCCTGCGTGTGTATTACTTATAACCACAACTGATACAAACCTAGCTGTTGGGGTCCCGTTAGGGATCCTACACCAACCCGCCTCCCTCCGCCGCCACCGGCCACCGAATTCACGTCTGCTCTATCGCGCCATTCAGTCCATACGTCCACAGTTTGGCCCGACATGCGGATAGGATCCCTGCTTGCAAACCCCAAGTAGCTCAAACGATACACAAATTCCAATTCGCTACTGTGCACGCTGCTCTTCCTGCTACTGCCGCCGCCAACGAGCCCATGCTCCCAGGTTGGCGCGTCTCTCTGGCCCGCTGGTGTTGCAGAACCTGTCTGGCTTCATGCTATCGGTCATCTCCACCGCCTTTATTGGCCACCTAAATGACAAGGTCAAGCTGTCGGCTGCTGTAATGGCCAGCTCCTTCTACAACATAACGGGCTACAGCCTAGTCATTGGGCTATCGGCGGGCATGGAGACGCTATGCGGCCAGGTGGGTGCATGATAAGGAAGGACAGAATCACGGACCCAAATGAAATCCTAGTGGGTGGGCGGGTGGTGACATGGGAGCCTGCTGGCCTGAGTTTCCCCCGCAAGGTCTAAGGTCTGGTGGCGAAGCAGAATGTGTGGCGGCGGTGTAGCTTACGTAGACATGTGCTTCGTGGACGCGCCCGTCCAACCCCGGCAAGATAGCCCAACCGCTCCACCTTGCATGCACGCCCCCTCGCAGGCCTACGGTGCGGGGAATTATGCCATGCTGGGTCTGGTGCTGCAGCGGGCCTTGCTCATCTGCTGGGTGGCCTGCGTGCCCATCTCGCTATTCTGGACACAGGCGCACCGGCTGCTGCTGGTGCTGCACCAGGAGCCGGAGATTGTAACGGGGGCCAGCAGGTGGTGGTTGGGGTTTTTCAGGCGGGGCGGCTCAGGGTTGGATAAATTGGTAGGTTTCAGGAGGCATCCAACCCAGATTGAACGGACGCGTCGCACATAGTTGCAGCTTCCGTTACACACCAGGCCATAGTCCTGTTCATTGCGCTTATTCTGCCGATCCTGCATACTTTTCCTCTCCCTTCCTTTGCATTAATCCTTTCTTTCACTTCTCACTCCTATCTGGCCTCCCTTCCCGCTTGTATTTCGTGTGCCGTCTGGCTGTGCTGCTGCTGCTTATGCGCGCTTGTTCCGTGCTTAGGTACCTGGCCATAGCCACTCCGGCCGTGTTCCTGTCCGCCGCCTCCAGCTGCATGTACCGCTACCTGGTGACGCAGCAGGAGGTGCGGCCGCCCATGATCTGCACCATCATCACGGCGGCGCTGTGCCCCGCGTACAACTGGCTGCTCATATACAGGTGCGGGATGAAGGCGCCGGTGATGATGGTGATGGCGGTGGTGGTGACAAAAGGTGCATCGCGGCGGCAGGAAGGTTTCGAAGTCACAGGATCCAATCAATCAGATTTGTTAAAAAAAACTCATTTTTAGACCCCGTCATCAGTTCACACATTCCTGCTTGGTTTTATTAGCATGAGCATATAATATCATAGCTTTGCCCTTTGGACATGACGGCATGAAATCTTTCCACGATTCAGTTTTGAGGTGCCCTAAAGTTGCCCCCTCAGGTTTGAGTTGGGTCTGGACGGCGCGGCCTGGGCTTTCCTGGCGTCGACGGCCACATATACCCTGCTGCTCATAGCGTACACTGTTCTACGGGAATGGCTGCAGTACAAGAACAACTCTCCGCGGCGAACCTGGGCAGGTTTCAGCTGGCGGGCATTTTCGGACTGGGGGACGTACCTGCGCTTTGCTGCGCCTTCAGCCGCCATGATTTGCATGGAATGGTGGTGAGAAGCCGGATATTGAGGCGTGGGATTCGGGGTTTAGGAAGGCAATCCTTCAGATGCGGCCCAGATCAGATTCTGGGAAGGGGAAGGGGGCACCTACGGATACGGGCGAGTCCCTGGGCGGGAAGTCTCTTTGGGCAACTTGTTGGGGATGAAGAGCACTCGTACCCGAAGGCCTTGAGTGGGCCCCAACCCGCTTCGCGGCCGTGTAACCTATTGCCGTGAACAACCCCTCGGCCCATACCGAAAACGCAACTTCCACAGGATTTTTGAGCTGGTGATCTTCATGGCGGGTGCGTTCGTGGTGACGTGCGTTACCGTTGAGGTGACGTAACGTGCGCGTGTCTGTGTGTTTGTATGTGTTGGTTGGTTGGTTGGTTGGTTGCGTGTGGGGGTTGCACCATTTTCGAGTCTGTTCGTGGGCTGTCCGTCCGCGGGAACAGGGATGGCTGCTCAGGATCCCCAGCTGCTGCTGCTGCTGCTTGCTGCTGCTGGTGCTGCAGTGCCGTTGCCATGGCTGCTTGGTATGCTGCAAACGTGCGTGCGACATCCCGCACATCCCCACACAGCGCTGCAGGCCCCCGATACGGTACTCGGCCCTAAACCTCTCCTTTCAAGTCCATGGGGTATCCAAATCCCGTTTCACCTTTCATAACGTAACCCCCGCACAACTGAGCGACTGACCGACCGGCCGCTTGGTTGATTTGCTTGGCAGGCTCTCTGGGCGACTTTGCGCGCGTGGCGGTGGCCGTAATGGGGATATCCTTCAACATCACCTCGTGGTGGGCAGCTGCTGGGTGCTTATTGGGTGCTGGGCTTAGCTATGGGGCACTTTGCTATGGGGCACTTAGCTATTGGGCACTTAGCAATTGGGCACTTAGCTATTGGGCACTTAGCAATTGGTCACTTAGCTATTGGGCACTTAGCAATTGGGCACTTAGCTATTGGGCACTTAGTTATTGGGCAATTAGCTATTGGGCACTTAGCCATTGGCGAACACCGGCCGAACGGGCTTTCCCCAAAACACGCCATGCGGTGGCGGCGCCATGGACCTCCAGCAATGGATCACATTACACATTGTACGGCACAATAACGTAAACGACGTGTTTTTCCTTCACTCTTCACATTCCACACATTCAGGACGTATATGATTCCCATGTCGCTGGGCACCGCCACGAACACTCGAGTGGCCAATGCGCTGGGTGCGGGCTCCGCGGGGGCCGCGCGCACCGCCGCACGGGCCGCCCTGTCCGCCGCCGTGGTGTTGCAGCTGGTTCTGGCTGCAGGGCTGTTCGCGGGCCGGCACCTGGTGGCCCGGGTGTTCACCTTGGAGACCGAGATCGTGTACAACGGTGCGCTGGGCACGGGCACATGGGCGCTGAGATTGGGCTGAGTAGGGCTGTGAGTACTTTTGGGGGCTTGCTTTGGGGGAGGGAAACGCCTAGGACCTAGGGGAATTCCGGGCGGGTCGTGGAATGACGCGTCCTGGACCAGAGCAGAGAGGAGGTTAGGGGGACGGATAGGTTTGTTTCCGTTAAGATCTTAATTAGCTGGGCTAAGCCGCTAGCTAAGTGACGACGAGTACCGGTAATCCTACTGCACTCTTGGTTCACCCGCGGTTCATGCCTCCTCCCGCTCTTCAGCTTCTCCCATAATCCTGCCGCCGTGTGTTTCAAAAAGGTGAGCGCCACCATGCGGGAAGTGCCAATCGTGTAACACGAATAACTTTACCGAAGCGAGCTCCGCAGTTCAGCGACGTGTTAGGCTTTCTGTGTGTGTGTGTCTATGCGTGTGTGTGTACCGTAGTTGGCCGCATTATGCCTGCTCTGGCTGCCAGCGCGGTGGGCGACGGGCTAGTGGCGGTGCTGGGCGGTGTGCTGCGTGGCGCGGGACGTCAGACCTGGGGTGCGGTGCTCAACCTGGTTGGGTACTGGCTGGTGGGCTGCCCGCTGGCGATGCTGCTGGGCTTCACGGCCCACCTGGATGTGGTGGGCTTTTGGTGCGGGCTGGCGGCTGCTACATCCTTGCAGGTGGGCGGAGGGCAGGCTGGACGGCTGGGGCCGAATCTAGTGGGCTAATGGAACTTCTAGTGAACGCTGCGGCATACCAGGCGTGTTGCCCTTGCCGTCTGTACCTTAGGAAGGGTATTGTAGACTGCTTCGCCTGCAAAACGGGTATTAGCACGTTTGGGCTGCGGCGTCCTTGACCCCTCTTTTCCTGTGATGCGAGATTTTGCTGTTTCTCGTAAAGAGTTCCGGCGACTTTGCTGTTCCCCAAGCCCGTCCATTGCGTCCGTGCCGTCTTCCCTGCCTGTCCTGCCATCCTGCCCTATGTCCCCCCATCGCCTATCCCGTGGACTTCTTTCTTCCGTTAGCTTAACGACTCTGTCGTACCGTGCCAGCCTATTACATTCTGCTTCTGTCCCGCCATCATCTCTTGACTTGACAGCCCGGTGTAGGACTCCCGTGTTCTCGACTGCTGTGTCGTTGGTTGGGTATCTTAATTATTATGTTGGCAGGCGTTCCCTTTACCGGTGTGCTGCTGATTATGCGCACGCGTGCAGGCCATCATTTTGGCAGTAGTGGTCTCCCGGTTCAACTGGGACCTTGAGGTGGCGCGCGCAGCCAAACTTGTGTCAAGTCACGCCGCGATAGCTGCACCGCAGCAGCAGCAGCAGCAACAACAACAACAACAACAACAGGCAGACGGTCAGGCGTAGGATGCAGGATTCGCAAGGCCGAGACTAGACGCTGAAGTGAAACTCGTCAAGTGCCTGGCTGCACCATGGGGCCGTAGTAGCTTATAATCGTGATCTAGAAACCAAAACCAAATACATCAACCAGGTCCCAAGTGGGCGGTCACGCCCTAGAGCGCATGTGTTTGCATTTGCATGCAGGCCGTCAGGTCTTTGCCACGGGCTTCATTGCTACCGCTCATTATTGCGCTCGCCAATGATCGGCCAAAAATTTATAATAGTAGTAGTTGCTGTTAGTTCTTTCTGAAAAGCTGTAACTCTTAGGTAAAAAATGATTTTTCCGTTATTTCTAAATCTAAAAAGGTAACCTCTTAGGTAAAAAATGATACTGCCGTACAGTCTCTATAGGGAAGAAGGCCAATGATGCCGTACAGTCTCTATAGGGAAGAAGGCCAATGATGCCGTACACTCTCTATAGGGAAGAAGGCCAATGAACAAGGCCCTCAAGTCGTACGGCCTAAAGGGAAATCTATCCGTCGCTGGCTCTACCTGCTAAGCGGAATCTGCAACAATTTCTTTTAAGTATATGACAGCAAGTTTAAGCATATTGATCTTTCGCCTTGTAGCGTGCTTGATGCTGTGTGGTAAAGCACTGTGTTCCGCGTCTGCGTCCATTTTGCCTGCCAAAAGTGGTGAACCAACTTAATCAAATGCAAATTTACAATGCCATAAAAACGAAAATGTAGGTAGTGCTGTTACGCACTTTTCGGCGGCGGCAAGATTTCGCACGGCATCATCGCACGACCGATCTGCTTGCTGTTCAGCCAGTATTTACCCCAGTACATAAATAGCAAATACTGTGTATTACATATGACTTCTTCTTTTCACAAATTGTAAGGTTAGTTTGGCTTCTTTTCCTTCGCCGTTATCGTTGTGATAGACTGATCCTTGAGTCAATAAATTCATTAAAGCCTTGGACTGCTAGTGAATATAAAGCTAGTAAATGTTGTCATTGTCGGTACAATCGCTGACGTTCAGCATTGTGGTCCTGCTCGCCATGACCACGACACACTATGACGACGGGTGATCGCGTAAATCCGCGTTAGTTCACGTTAGTTCGCGTGACGGTGCGAATCTTAGAGTTAGGTGCGAATGAGCATGTTTTTGTAACGCAAAGAGCTAACGCACAACGGCTATGAAAAAGCGGAAATCGGCCCTCCTGGCTAAAATTTTTAAATTTTATAATTTTCAGATTGTAAAGGTTCATTTGGAAATAAACTTGCGTCGTTTTGGTCGACTTGAGCAATTCATCCGTGCGTATGTTGAAACGCAAAGCATACGCGCATGTGTAGCAAGGCGATACGCATGAGATTTCATATTGCGATTCGTGCGTGTGGGGAGACAATGCGTAAAGCAATACGCGTCCAATCGCACATCAAACGCACACAGTCCGCAAGGCTATTCACATGCGAATACATGTTGCGTTTCATGCGTATGAAGGCTGATTGCGTAAAGCTTAACGCGGCCTAACACACACCAAACGCACACATGTCGCAACGCAATTCGCATGCAAACAAATGTTGCGTTTAAGGCTCGTTGCGTCAAGTTTACTTCGGCCTAACACACCAAACACACACCAAACACACACGATTTACTTTGATTAATCGCATGACATAACAGTTCACATGCGATGTTTTATGTGTTGGTCGCATACTCAGTTCGTTAACCTTCACGCTGTCTCATGAGAGAATAACATGTTTGGCAGCACTCAGGGGCCCTTCCGCAAACGAGATCGCATCAGGCGCAGCCTTACATCGCACAACGATTCATCATACCATCAATAGATGCCAGAAAGGCGGCGGGACATATGCCGCATGCGAACGCGCACGCAATTAGACCCAAGCTGGCTGTGAGGGGACATGCCTGGGAGGCTGAAAGGGCTTCCAGACGCATAAATCGCATCAGGCACTGTCTTACACCGTGCCAACGATGTATGACGCCATCAACTATTTGCCGAAATGTGCCGGGGAACGCTGCATCCAACACGCACACAATTAAACCCCCGCCGTGAGATGTGTTGGTGGCTGTGAGGCAAGTGGGGACATGCCTGGGAGGCTGAAAGGGCATAAATCGCAGTAGGAGCCATCGTACGCCGCAACAACGATGCATCATACCATCAACTAGTTGCCAGGAAGGCGGCGGGGAACGCGGCTTGATCAGTCATGCTCGCTAGGCAACCATCATGGGGAAGGGATGTAAGGGTGTCCTCCTCTCGGATGGGTCGAACTACTCCCAGTGGCTCGGCGACTTAGGCAATTTCTTTGCAACATCCAAGTTGAAGACTACATCAACACCCGTCGCCTCCGGGCCGCAACGCCCAAGACGCCCTGGAGGAGGACGCACAGGCGCTCGGCTACCTGCATCTGTCCTGTGAACTCCCCATCAAGCAGTTGCTCAGGAATTGCCAGACCATTCTCGCCGCCATGCAGCTCTTACAGCAACAGTTGCGTTCTGCATCCTAGGCCCGGCTGAGCCTGTTGGAGCCGCAGAAGCAGCTGAGCATGCGCGATGGGAAGACAACCACTGACTTCGTCCAGCAGGCAGAGCAGCTCCGTAGCAATATAATCGTGGCCGGCGGCCAGTGGGACGAGAGCACGATGCACCACGCCATTCTCCATGGCCTGCCTCCGCAGTGCACCATCACCATCGAGTTCACGATGTATCAGCCCAACTTAACGACCCCACAGCTCGTGCTCATGCTGCGTGAGAAGGAGAACAACCTTAAGACCCAAGCAAGCAAGACAAGCCTGGTGGGAGCTGTCGGCCCTGGCCGTGCTGCCAGTGGAATCGGCAGCGCCGCCGGTGCTGCAGGCGCCGTGGGGGCCGGCGACACCTGCCACTACTGCGGACAGCCTGGTCACTACATTCGCGAATGTCCCGTTAAGCAGGCGGACGAGTCCGTCGGCCTTCACCGCAGCAACACATTCGAGCAGCTGCACGCCGCCGGCAACATCAGTTGAGGCAGCTGCAACCGCCACCGTGACGGTGGCGGCAGGGGCACTGGCAGTGGCAATAGCGGTCACAGCAGGGCCGACGGAGCACGTGAATGTGGCCGTGCTCGATGCGGCAACAGCCACCACAACGGTGGCGACACTGCAGGCGGCAGCAGTGGCAGCGGCTCGGGCAGCAGCAGAAGCAGCCCACGCCAGAACCGTGACCCAGTGCTGGTCATCGACCGCAGTGGAAGCAGCTCACGAGTCACCCTCGACTCAGGCTCACCATACCACCTCACGGGTGACCGCTTCCTGCTGCACAACCATGTCCCCGCCGGCGCGCCACGGCTAATGGGGTGGGGCAACATGTCGTGGGAACAGGGAAGCTGCACCTGCATACTCGTGATGTACACAATGTCCAGCTGCACAATGTGCTGCACGTCCCCAGCTCGGGCCTCACCCTGACGTCTGTCGACCTCGTGAGAGGTCGACAGACCTCATGACACGCGGCTACTCGGTCACGTTCAGCATGGACAAGACGGGCTGCTGGTTCTCATGCATCAGCCTCCTGCACAACAGCCCGTCTATAACCGCATGGAGTGAGCGTGGGCACTATGCATGGACGTGGACCTGCAGGCGCCGACCGACGTCACCGTCAATGCCCTCAGCACCACGGGCGACAGAGCTGGCAGGGGCCAGGCCGCAGGTAGCAGCGCTGGCGGAAGTGCCGCCACCATCACCAGCACCCGTGGCGGCAGCACCGCCGGCAGCCACACCGGTGGAGGCCAACCGAACGGCGACAGCAACGGCAAAGGGCAACCAGGCAACGGCAGCCCCGGGGCCACTGAATGCTCAGTCGCCGAACTTGCGGCAGCACAGCGCCTGCACTGCCAGTACGGTCACCTCGGTTACCGCGTGCTGAAGCAGCTGATAAGCAAGCAGCTGGTGTAGGGGCCACAGGTCACTCCAGCGGCACTGCGCCAGGCGGTGGAGGCCGTCTGCGAGGCCTGTGTCACCGTGAAGGCCACCGCAACCGCCCACCCCAGCCGTGGCAACCGGCCATAGCACGCACTGGAGGTCGTACACTCTGACCTGTGCGGGCCCATGCCCACCATGGGCCGAGGGGGTGCACGCTACTTGCTGACGCTGCTGGATGGTGCCACCGGTCTGTTCGCCGTCCGCACGCTGGCCAGCAAGAGCCAATGGGCAAAGTGCTGCAGGACATGGTGACACAGCTGGAGGCCCGCCACCCGAACCACGCACGGGTGCACACGCTGCACAGCGACAACGGTGGTGAGTAAATCGCCAAGCAACTGGAGCAGTGGCTGCGCCAGCACGGCACCGCACACACCCACTCGGCGCCGTACAACCCAGAGCAGAACGGAGCGGTGGAGCGACTCAACCACACACTCTTCGACCGTGTGCGGGCGATGCTGCATGATACAGCACTCCCGGTCAGCTACTGGCTGGAGGCTGCACTCTACACCAACCTCCTGCGCAATGTGGCCCCCTCTCAGGGCCGGGAGGCCACACCGTGGGCAGCTTATCACGGCGTCCCCCCCGACGTCAGCCACCTCCACACCTTCGGCTGCCTGGCCTACATCCGCATCCCAGCCAGCCAGCAGGACAAACTCAGTCCTCGTGCAAAGGCGGGAACCTACCGCTGACCGGAGCACGGCACGGCCACCCACCGCGTCCATGTCGAGGGCAAGGTGACCGTGAGCAGTGACGTCACCTTCGATGACGACCGCCACGGCCCGGTTCACAACAGGCGGGCACCCTCTTCGGCACTAGCCCCGCCTGCCCCGGCGGCAGGGACACTATCGGCGGCTCTACACCGCCCGCCATGCTGCCGACCCCAGCGGCTACCCCGCCCCTGGCGACCCCAACAACACCCCTTCCATCGCAACACCCGCAGTCAACGGCAGTCCCTGCACACGCCGCAGCCCCGGTCAGTGACGGCCTGCCAACCCGACAGCAGCAGCAGTGGCGGCGGCGGAGAGTCGGGAAGTCCACCGCTGCTCGGGTGGTAGCGCTGACAGCGCTAAGTCTAACATGCCCGACGGCAGCGGCGGTGGCGGAGGCAACAGCGCGGTGCACACTGCCAACGACATGCTGGTGACGGCGGACAACCTGCAACCTGCCCTGTTTAAATGGGGGGGACCTCGACTGTAATCACAAATTTAGATGCTTAATTCTCCATACTGACATTCTCCTTACACTTCGTCAATTGCTTATACTTTACTGTTGCAACAACTAGCAATGTGTGGGCAATTTGCACTGTACGACCAATGCAAGAAAACAAACCGTTTCAATCATTGGAAAAGGCACACAGCCCACATGCTTGCTAATGCCAGCCAATAAAAACTTTCGCCTAAAACTTTCCAAGAACAAGGGGCAAGAGAGGGGGAAAGTGCGGGGAAGTGGGGCGGCAGCCCCACGACCCCGCACATCCCCCCCAAGACCACCTGGCCACCGACATGCAATCATGATAGGAATGAGCGGGAGCCAAGGGAAACATTTAAAAGCATGATTTTCCGTCATGTGTCCGTCCGTCTGGGTTCTGTGTGTGGCAGCCCCGCACCGGTCATGGACAGGCAGGCTGCTGTGCTTCTAGCTGGCTACTGGCACAGGTACATGGCTCATCTTGGGCAGGTCGGAACACATCGGAAATTACGGTGGGTTGGTGGAATAGCATTACATGGAGATTGCAATGCTTCCCTCAACTAACACATGGAATCGGGTATGAGGGGATTTTATGGCGAGCAGGATTGCGGAGCCGGGTTTTGCTGCCACGTAGATGCACGGCTGCCAGGTGACTTGCCACTGGGTCTGTATGCATCATGGGCTGTGCAGCTCACGAGCAGGCAGCAGTCACGAACAGTGTTTTAAGAATCGTGCGTTCAATGGGACCAAGGGTGGTGGTGGTTGGGGTTTTGGAAAGGAGAACTTGTGTGGTACTTGGTAGTCATGATGCAGATGACGGAGTTAGCGTCCATGTCGGCTGCCGTGCGTGGTGTACAGCGAGTCGTAGGCCCGGCTCCCCGCTGGCGCTTGGTGTCGATGCAGCTGCACGAACTTGCTGGGGGAAACTGTTGCTGGGGGAAACTTGGCAATGAGTTCCATACTGATTACGGCTACTGGCAGGTTCCGTGCTATGAAATGGGCTCCTGCGGCACTGGGGTCTCTGTCGAAACGCACCATGTAATTGTGGTCGGGACTGAATGGATTAAGACTCCAGGTTGAAGGTTCTTCTGCAAGGGTGCCGCAAAGGTCGCCAGCGCTGTGTTTTTTCCACGTCGGTGTCAGTTGCATTTGGTCATTGTTTGCTCTCTCGCATCATGCATTTTGTAGTGGCTGTCTAGGTGGTCCTTGTCGGGATGCTTTCCATAATCGGGGACGAGAGGTGTTCGCAGGTGGCCTCCAACAACACGAGAGGTGTTCCTCCAACAACACGAGAGGTGTTCGCAGGTGGCCTCCTGCCGCCACATTGGCGACTGTGCCTTGGCAATGCGAACGTGCCTTGATGACGCGGAAACGTGGAGCGCACCTCTTAGTAGTAACCGTTAATGCAGAGGCTCGAATCGCAACCTTGCAAGAGAAGATTGTGACGTGCCATCGACCGGGTGACCCAGTGTTATATGTTTTATTGTCTTCGGGTTACTAAACGCGGGTAGGGTGTGGGATCACTCGGTAACTGGTGGTCTCCCTCCCGCGAAGGCAGGGTGAGTACGCCACAAACGGAGACGTGTCGCAGAGGGCCCCGACGGACGGATATGGGTTGGCTGACCCCTTTGGTGCGGCAGAAGGAAGCCGATGCACGGTATGGCGATTGGTGAGTCGTACGTTGCCCCCGGTTTGACTTAGGACATATAGGTTTGCTGGAAGCAGAAGCAGATAGATTCGCTGGGCTCACTGTACATGTTGGTGTAGCGGTTCATAGGAAGGGAACGCGCCAGGTCATGTCACGTAGCTGCAAGGCCACCGTGTGGTGTAGCCGCTGACGGCTTCCCTTAACCCTCCATTTCTTGATAGATTTTGGATCCGCCATGGCGCCCACTGCGCTTTCATGGCGAAAGTCTCCGCAGTCGCATCGGTGGAGCGTGTTGCCTTATTCATTATGCGGCAGTTGCGTGTTCGGCAGCAGCGGCGAGGACTGGACCGCTGGTAGTGTGCGCCCTAGCGAGGCACACTCGATATTTATATGAAGGTGGAGGGCTAGGTGATGGGTGAGGCAGATGTCGTGATACTATGGGCCCTGCGCGGTAACGTGCCAGGTTGAATACAACTAAATAGCGTGTTCTCCTGCGCAATGAGGAGAACGGACTCCGTGAATGTGTGTTGTTGTGCATGTGTCATGTCCATAGCTCAAAGTATCTATCACCTTCGTCAACTAGAAGCGGCTTTTACATCACGTTACCTCGCGGTACTTCCATCATCAAACGCCGTACAATGCGTAGGAGCAACATATTGAGTTCAAATAAGTTAAGGCTCATTCCCCCTAGTTTTCCGAAAACCGCCACACAGGAAAGACGACAATGCTCGAATAACTATGTTCAGCAGTTTCTCTACGAGACAGTCACGTGACTCATTAACCCCATCGAAGCAACGCATGCTACACGAAACGGATATCCGGGGGCACGAGTGGTTAACTATCTGTCGTCTAATGTTCTTAAAGATTCCCGTCGCACGCTAGACTACTAGAATCGTCTCCTATCGCAATCAATAATATGACTTCGCTACCTGCACATCATTGTAATACGAGTTTAGTTAAACTCTACGTGCCCTCACATCACTCCACATTGCACGCGTCCTGCACTCCAGCAAACCAATACACAGGTACAAGCGCATGCGCATCAATTCATGCATATGCTGTTGAGTCAGAAAAGAATCCAAATTTCCACCTCCAATAAGCTGTAGGAACAGTGCCGTGCGTCTGGCTTTGTGGCGCAAGATGGCACAATATGGTGGTATACCCCCCATGGCCACTCGTACCATAGAACCGTACCGTTGCATTTCCCTATGCTGAAAAATGCTATCATATGCTGGACACGGTGGCGCGACAGTCCTTGATAGCCAACCCCAAAAAAATCGTAACAAACACCAGGGCCGTTCCCCGAAGTCGACAACTGAAGAGCTTTGGCTGCTCAGCCTTCGACCGCTGCTTCACGAGCGCAGACAACCTCGTAGTCCTGGAGTCCGTACGTCGCCTTCACAACGTGATCCCTGCGTTAGGAAATGTGCACATAAACCCCTTGAAGATAAAAATAGAACAGAGTACGACGAATCAAATGGAATAGAACAGAGTACGATGGATTCCAATCGAAGGAAGTACGATGGAATGGATGGGATCCAATTGAACATACTGTAATGCAACCAAGTCGCTTGAAGAGTGCCACGCCAATCGATTGGAACAATTGCCGGTAATAACCTTTAACACGCGTTTTCGGAAATAACCCAAGATATAAAAAAAACTGCATTACATACACTCGGGTACGTACCATGACATCCAGCACTCTCCTGAACGCTACAACAGGTTGACCATCCCCGAAAGATTGCCACGGAGACCACGTCCGCCACCCTTGTAACCGGAAAGCGGCGGGTGTGTCGTTACCGGGGCTGGTGCCATTGCAGTCCGGGCGGCTGGCGTTGTACGGCATCGGCGGCATGGTTGGATGGGTCTCGTTGTGCTCCGAAGGCTTGGAGAAGCCGTCCTTGCCGCCCTTGCCACTCTTGCCCAGCAGACCGCGGCCGTGGCCCTTGGCCGGCAAAGCGGCGGGTGGGTGGGTTTCGTTGCCCTTGGTGCCATTGCAGTCCGGGCGGCTGGCGTTGTACGGCATCGGCGGCATGGTTGGATGGGTCTCGTTGTGCTCCGAAGGCTTGGAGAAGCCGTCCTTGCCACCCTTGCCACTCTTGCCCAGCAGACCGCGGCCGTGGCCCTTGGCCGGCAAAGCGGCGGGTGGGTGGGTTTCATTGCCCTTGGTGCCATTGCAGTCCGGGCGGCTGGCGTTGTACGGCATCGGCGGCATGGTTGGATGGGTCTCGTTGTGCTCCGAAGGCTTGGAGAAGCCGTCCTTGCCACCCTTGCCACTCTTGCCCAGCAGACCGCGGCCGTGGCCCTTGGCCGGCAAAGCGGCGGGTGGGTGGGTTTCATTGCCCTTGGTGCCATTGCAGTCCGGGCGGCTGGCGTTGTACGGCATCGGCGGCATGGTTGGATGGGTCTCGTTGTGCTCCGAAGGCTTGGAGAAGCCGTCCTTGCCACCCTTGCCACTCTTGCCCAGCAGACCGCGGCTGTGGCCCTTGGCCGGCAAAGCGGCGGGTGGGTGGGTTTTATTGCCCTTGGTGCCATTGCAGTCCGGGCGGCTGGCGTTGTACGGCATCGGCGGCATGGTTGGATGGGTCTCGTTGTGCTCCGAAGGCTTGGAGAAGCCGTCCTTGCCACCCTTGCCACTCTTCCCCAGCAGACCGCGGCCGTGGCCCTTGGCCGGCAAAGCGGCGGGTGGGTGGGTTTTATTGCCCTTGGTGCCATTGCAGTCCGGGCGGCTGGCGTTGTACGGCATCGGCGGCATGGTTGGATGGGTCTCGTTGTGCTCCGAAGGCTTGGAGAAGCCGTCCTTGCCACCCTTGCCACTCTTGCCCAGCAGACCGCGGCCGTGGCCCTTGGCCGGCAAAGCGGCGGGTGGGTGGGTTTCATTGCCCTTGGTGCCATTGCAGTCCGGGCGGCTGGCGTTATACGGCATCGGCGGCATGGTTGGATGGGTCTCGTTGTGCTCCGAAGGCTTGGAGAAGCCGTCCTTGCCACCCTTGCCACTCTTGCCCAGCAGACCGCGGCTGTGGCCCTTGGCCGGCAAAGCGGCGGGTGGGTGGGTTTTATTGCCCTTGGTGCCATTGCAGTCCGGGCGGCTGGCGTTGTACGGCATCGGCGGCATCGTTGGATGGGTCTCGTTGTGCCCTGAAGGCTTGGAGAAGTCGTCCTTGCCGCCCTTGCCACTCTTGCCCAGCAGACCGCGGCCGTGGCCCTTGGCCGGCAAAGCGGCGGGTGGGTGGGTTTCGTTGCCCTTGGTGCCATTGCAGTCCGGGCGGCTGGCGTTGTACGGCATCGGCGGCATCGTTGGATGGGTCTCGTTGTGCCCTGAAGGCTTGGAGAAGTCGTCCTTGCCGCCCTTGCCACTCTTGCCCAGCAGACCGCGGCCGTGGCCCTTGGCCGGCAAAGCGGCGGGTGGGTGGGTTTCATTGCCCTTGGTGCCATTGCAGTCCGGGCGGCTGGCGTTGTACGGCATCGGCGGCATTTTTGGATGGGTCCCGTTGTGCTCCGAAGGCTTGGAGAAGTCGTCCTTGCCACCCTTGCCACTCTTCCCCAGCAGACCGCGGCCGTGGCCCTTGGCCGGCAAAGCGGCGGGTGGGTGGGTTTCATTGCCCTTGGTGCCATTGCAGTCCGGGCGGCTGGCGTTGTACGTCATTGGCGGCATCGTTGGATGGGTCTCGTTGTGCCCTGAAGGCTTGGAGATATCTCGACCATCCTTACGACCATCCTCTTTGCTTAGGAGCTCCCGGCTGGGGATGCCTCGAGCCCAGGCTCCTGCGATATTGCAGGTGGGAAAACGTAACCATTCTGTCTAACTGATAGCACGAGGACTATAGCGAAACGTACCCTGGCATGATGCCAAAGCGCCAACGATAAGAAGTGCGAAGACGGGACGGAGCATCGTTGACGTCCGCCTCATAGATGCTGTGTGCCTCTGGAGTTCTGCGTGATTTCGTGGCAAAGGGGTGGCATGACTGTGTTAGGCGAGCAGCAGTTTGATGCACCATAGCAACAACGGCTGCAAGGAGGGCTATAGCCGAAGAAACATGGTGTTTTACTTTCTCATCAAGATTATATTTAAGATTTATATTACCTTATGCTATGTTATGCTCTCTCAAACTCCCCAGATTGAAGCTTGCTCCAGCGATACAGGAATTGGGGACCGTACGCAAGCACGCAGGTAAATGTGCTGTAACCTGAGACCTGACACAAGATAGATAAATATTTTTATCACCAAAGCTAATGAAATATAGTAAGTCATTTGCGCTTGTCACGGTTTTATAGTCTTATACCTTATGTATACGAACCGTATGTCTGACGGTCTACTAGTACTGGCAAGACAAGGTAATCGCACTGTGTTTGTACATCGGCATATT